CTAAACAATTTCAACTTGGCCACTTCTTAAAAAATAATATTTATATATTAAATAAGTATAATTTGATTCATTATGAAATATATTTTATAGTAAATCTACTTGAAAACATTAAATTTTGATTTTTTTCTATAAAATACGTTAAACTTGAGAAAGTTTGACTAGTCCTAGACCTAGAATTATATTTAGAAAAGAATGAGTGGATTTCAACATTCAACTTTTTAATACCAGTACGATTAGATTCATAAGGAGACACGGCCCATCTCTAGGCTAGGGGAAGGAAAGTGAATCTCCCTTCATTTCATACAACGTTGTGTTGATAAATTTGGCGTATTATATTATTTTGCCCCTTTCATGAGACATTAATGGTCAAGGTGTGATGTTAGATACCCCGCACTCTTCCACGCCTGATTGCCATGTCATATGAAACAAAATGAAACTTGGATGAAACACCCACTTTCAATAGAGAGTTTCATTCTATGGTTTCATAGGCATTTAGTTTTAAGACTCATAGAAAGTTGGTAATTGTGCCAAGAGAGTTTCATCATTTCTTCTCTCTCTTCTTAAATACATTGTCATGTCATAAAAAATGCCTATGTGGCAACCTATTTAGTGCAAATGAAACTAAAATGAAACTCCCACTGAGACATCTTTCTTCCTATATAAACTAGACCCATGTTAATATTGGTGGTACTTCGTCGAGCCTCCACAAGCTGGCTTGTCCATGATCAGTCAACTTCAATGGATCCAAACATGTCCACTCCATGTAGCCTTCCAAATCGAATGGTACGAGCACTAGTAGAGAAATGACCTTTCATCCGCTTCGATTTTAGGCTTTAGTCTCGGTATTTTTTGCGTCCGGGAGTAAAGGAAGAATTAGTCCCGGTTGAAGATACCAACAGGGACTAAAGGCCCCTGTCCTGGCACGCCTTCGCAGCAGGCCACCTTTAGTCCCGGTTGGTGTTACCAACCCGGACTAAAGGTCGACCTTTAGTCACGGTTGGTGTTACCAACCCGGACTAATAACAACCGGGACTAAAGGGTGACCTTTTAGTCCCGGTTGGTGTCACCAACCCGGATTAAAGGTCTCCCACCCGGGACTAAAGGTACCCCACAGGTCAATTCAAAAGGAGAGTGTCCAGGACCCTGTCACATGTGGTGTACAGCTGAACTGGTAAGGAGTTTACGCGCGAGGAAAGAGATCCTGGGTTCGAATCTCACACATCGCAAGAAAGGTCTCCCTACAATTTCGTTTATTTTTCTCCTGAGGATGGACCTTTAGTCCCGGTTATGTGCCCGGCCAGGACCTTTAGTCCAGGATTCGTAGTCCCGGTTGGGAAACCGGGACTAAAGCCAGTTCCCAACCGGGACTACAACCCATTTCTCTACTAGTGGAGAGAAGACATGAATCAAGTATTAGTGTTGTCCCGTGAAAATATGTACACATTTTCTCTCTCGAATCACAACACATTCAAGAGATTGGTGAACAGTTTGAGCTCTCAGCTCTATGAACAGACACTCACTACATCACCTCGCTGTCAAGGACTTGAAAACATGAGTAGACAGAATCCATCGTAAGAAACCTAACCAATTAAACTACACATAGATTCATAAAATTTGCACGCATCTAGTTATTGCGGGTAAATAATCTGTGTTAATGACTGCTCACACCAGCCTCCGCTCAAAGATATGTCATATTTCAAAAAAAGAAGGCTTATTTATTCTGTTTTTCCCTTAAAATATATTAACACTACAGATAATCAATAACATAATTAATATAGTAACTATACTGTTACATACATATTTGAAAATGTTAGTATCACGCTACTATAACTAATAGTTTTATATATATGTACGACATATTCCATCAGAAAGCAGTGACCAAACACCAAAGTTTAGCTTTAGAGATGATGGAGGTAACATGAAAACGAGACGCACCGTACGTTGTTCGATCCGCCCGTTCCTAGAGAGGGAGAGACGATGGTGGACGTTGGTGGAAATGGAATGGAAAGCAGAGCCCCTGGCTTGCCGGAGGAAAGGAGGCCAACAGCGTGTTTGGGACCGCGTATTCCGCGGTGACGGTGGAAAGAATCGAACAATCGCGCCAAACGCCCTGCCGCGATGATTCTTTCAACCGCACTCGGCACGGGAGTCGCGAAAATGAACTAGCAGCTCGCGGTGCTCGCGTTTACGCCACCGCGACTCGGAGCTCGCGGTGCCCATACCGCACCGCGCGGTCGACGACTGCGGTCCCAAACACGCCCCAAGCCGGCTGCGCCGCCGTGAGGGATAAGGATTAGCTAAACTTTAATAAAGTGCCGGAAAGGGTTAAGCGCGCGCTTTGCATGAAAAAAAGCGATAGACGCTGCAAATGGTGGTAGCACTAGTTTATTGGCAATGGATCCATGCTTAGTACGGCACGGGGACGGATTAGTAGATTAATCCACCCTGCCGCGATACGCAGTATGGCGGGCTCCGAAAGCGCGGCCGTCGCTGATTGGCCGCGTCTCGCTTCCTGTCCAGTCGCCATTGGCCGCGCCGGGAGACACGTTTCGGCCGGCCGGGGCGGGAGCGGCCGAGCGGGACACCGGACACACGCACGCACCCGAGCAGCAGGGCTCGGGCACGGGACGGACGACGCTGAGCGGAGACAGGCGGTTGCTGCCGGTGCCGGCGTCGGGCGGCTTGTTGAGGCAGGCGGGCGGGCAAGCAGGACAGGCCGGCCGGAACGTGGACTTGTGACTTGTCGACGATGGATCGGCGTGGACAGGAGACATGTCGAGTTGTATGCCCAGTACTCGTACGGTCCAGGCCAAGCACTGTACGGCACTGTATGCCACGGGTACATTGGTCAACCAAAAGCAGCGTGATCCAGCAGACTGATGACTGATCGCTGATGGTAGCCACCCCGGCAACAGTGGCAGCCTCGCCGTACTCGTCCTCCTCCTCTGTGAGTGTGACGGTAGGTACGCGGAGTGGTCAGAAACACAAGCACCTCTCTCATTAATCGGCACTAATCATCTGATATGACAGGGATATATTAGGGACGTGACGTGCGAGTTGAGGCAACGTCTGAGCCCTTAGTTTCCACTCTAAAACTTTAAAGTCCTATCACATCAAATGTTTGATATACATGAAGTATTAAATATAGATTAAAAAATAACAATTGTACAGGTTATGATTAATTTACGAGACGAATCTGTCAAACCTAATTAGATCAGAATTTGACAATAAAGTGCTACAGTAACACATGCGCTAATGATGGATTAATTAGGCTTAATAAATTCATCTCGCGGTTTACTAACGGATTCTGTAATTTATTTTTTATTAGTATCCGAACACCCATACAATACCCCGTATAATATCCGATGTGACGTACCAAAACTTTACACCATCTAAACGACGGCTGAACAAAAACCCAGCCTTTGCGTACCACCAGGCCACGGATGCAGCTGAGAGCCTGAGGCAACCTGTCTGAACGGGAACGGAACTGGCAGCGCAGTCATTTGCACGGTGATGACCCCGATGTGAACACTCGCTCACTACCATGATTCTCCATACCCAAACCGGAAAAGGAGACGCCGATATGCCGCTACGGAATCGCCACAACTCTGCCGTTCCTGTTTACCGATGCGACTGAAAGGGGAATGTATGGATCGATCATCGATGGATGCAACCACACCGTACAGGCTGCAGATGTAGAAATAGAAAAGAAAGACGTGGATGGCAACAACCTATGATCGGTGCCAACACCTGCTTTCTCCGTGCGCAGCAACGCAACGCAATGTACCCTGCATTGCACACTCGAGCCGCAAACCGATCCGGCGATGCAATAGAGCATGGGACTCGAGAACTTTTCTATCTTATTACCGTAATACTATCTTCGTAAAAAAATACAATTCTAAATAATATTATGTTTTAGTAACTTAACTTTAATCAATTATAGATAAAAATATCTATGTTTATGATACCAAATAAATATTATTAGATTAATTATAAAAAATATTTTTATAATAAATTAATTTAAAATCATAAATATAAATATTATTCATTAAAAATTTAGTTAAACTTGAATCATTTTTTAGCACGTAATGTATAGTTACATTCTTTTCGAGCGACTCCGTATCATTGGTCGGTCCAGACTCCGGGCATCCAGCCAAAGCGGAGCGAGTGTCACGTCAGCGACGAGGAGGACAGAGCACTCGTACTTTCGCGTCGCGTCCCATTCCCAGCAGCCACAGGTCATCTCAAGCAGGGAGAGACACGCGAATGACGTCAAATCAAAGGGAATGGATGATTGTGCGGCTGGTTGGCGTCACCGATGGGCGCTCGCGCACCTGCGAGACGTGACCTTCACGGCTGCACGCCTCTCTCATGTGGTCATCATCATCATCGGCTGGCTGCTGGCTTTCGAGTTTGAGCCACGCCTCACTCGATAAATGTCGTCTTATTTCATCATCATCGGCTGGCTGCTGGGTTAAAAATTGATTGAAAAAAACTTGGAATTTTGAGTTTGAAGTTTGATGATTGTCCCGGCATGAAAAAAAAACGAGCTTTCGAGTTCACAGCTGAGGCATTGCATTGCATCTCTCAGCACAGCAGACGACAAGCCAGAATAACCACTTTTCATTTGTCACAGCTGAAGCTTTTTTACAACTTTGCTTTCGCCTTGGGAGGGGCATGGTCCTCGGCCGCCACCAGAATTTCTCTGTGCACATCCACACCGGATACTACAGTTCCACCAGAATTTCATTTTTTTTTTCAAATTACTGTGCACATTCTTATATAAATGAAGCACGGAAAAAACCTCCCGGTGTCAACCTTGATGCACAGCAGATGTGTCTGGAATTCGAACTATTTCTGAAGGGCACGATGTACACAGTTTCTTTTCATCTCGGATTAACCCGGCGGCACAGTGTCTGACTTGTCTTACAAGGGACCTAATGCATGTTAGCTGGGGCTAGAACCTACAGGCGCCCACGTAGATGGTAGATACAGGCTCCTTAGCCATTGCCGTTTTTCCTGTTCCAGGATAGGCGATTAGGGTCACCTTGCGGCCTGTGAATTCATCAAATACGAGACGAGTTATATAGCTTAAAAATGCCCCCCAAAAAATACAGCAAGAATTAAACAAAAAAAAGCCTCAGCAGGAGGTTCCGTCTATTCACACGCGAATGCACAGCCTGTGTGTTTGGTTCTTATGAACAATAACAAGCAGAAGCATAGATAACATGAGCTTATCGTTTACCTTGGGTACTTCACATGGATCAGAGCAAAGAGAATTGATATGAAGATGCTCAATGAACCAGTGACAATATAAGCATGTCCAAGGAAGTCATTCTTGCCACCTAGCCAGGATGCAGTTGAAAGAACTATGCTCTTCTTTCCACCAAACGTGTAGGTGTTGTAATTATTTCCTATGAGAATAGTTATGGTCTCATCAGCATGTAGATCATCTTCAATTACACCATAGAGCTTTCGAAACTTGGGAAGAGCAGCAGTACGCATCCACACAATAAGATTTTCCTGCTCACTCAGCTAACAAAAAAAGATGCAAAATGTTCAGCCAACTTAAAACAAGCTGTTAATTTGACAACATATTGACTAAAGGCAAATCATACATTTGGCAATCCTATTAGCTACTGAGCATTGAGCAACCTATTAACAATACTTAGTGTCTTAGTTTATCACAGTACTCACTGGGACAGTAGGGTCGAGTTTTCCCCCTCCAATCAAGGTTCCATTCTGAAAGTTGGAGGGAAACACATCTTTGCCAAACTTGTGCTCCCGATCGCTCTTCCATGAAATGTTTTTCCTGTTGACCTTTATTTCCTTGGACCCGCGAGTAAAATCATAGGTATCATTGAATAAGCTCCAGGCAATCAAGCCACAGGGAACAATTGGGGAACCATTATTATCCCATTGAACAGGACTGCACGACTCAGCTGTGTATTTCGCCCCAAAACGCAGCTGTTTATCACTTCTACTTTTGACATACCTGTTCATCATTGATAAATTTCTTTTTTTCAGCAAGATCAATAAAAAACATTACTCCCATCCAACAGATACAATGGCCATGAACCTAAAATGACCATGAAACTAAATAAACGATGTTATAACTACCTGCGATGATTCTGATAGAAATTCTCAAGTTCATAATAAACATAAATTGGTGCTCTCATGTGCTCCAGAACCTGCAGATGTCCATGACACAGTAAAATAGAAATTCAAAGAGAGGAAGAAATATAGTCTGATGCAATCTCAGGGCACCAAGCTGAACTTAGGAATTTTAGCTATGTGAATCACAAACGAAGAAATATAGTCTGCAGAAAGTGGACAAGATAAAGATAACTTCTGTTACAATCACATAACGATCTACCTTCGCTTGCAGAGTACAATTCTTTGAAATTGAACTGTCCTTAATATAAGCTTGCCTATTTCCTCTGTAAGCATTAGGCACACAGTCAACATCATAGCGGTGAATGATTTCTGCAACCTGGACCAGAATAATGAGCACATCAGTTATACCTAGCGATATAAAGATTAAAGGAAACATCAGTATCTACAAGAGGGAGTAGAACAATTACATGATTTGAAGTTTGGAGACAAAGAAGCCCAAAAGGTACGAAAATGATTCCAATAATCAAGAACATGGCTATTAACTGGAAACAGTGAAGTAAAATATCATCAATTGAACTACGTATAAAACAGCTGCCAAACCTGTCAATAGGATCAGAACAAACTTACACATCCAGGTGTCATTGCTGGCTTCCAAGCTGGGAGATTCTGCTGGGTGAACCTATAGAAAACTGCAAAACAAACAAACTTAAAAAAACCCGGAAAACCAACATGATCGACTCTATAGTGTACTAAACTTCGGCTGGGCTTATACGATCGTGGATTATAAGCTGGAACAGTATTTTTCTCTCACACCAAACCAACCAAACCAGCCAACAGTAAATAATCCACGGTCCAGCCCAGCCAGCCGAACAGGCTGTAGAACAACATTGCAGCACACAATGACAACAATGAATGGAAAATACATATAATCTGAATTCTCAAAGTTTGTAAAAGAAATCGACCATATAATCTTCTTATGTCCAGATTCAGTAGTTGCCAGTCAAGGAAACACAAGTTATTAATACAGCATAATCTGCCTGTAGTTGCATCAGTGTTGTGTTCCACATGATTCTGAAAAATGATGATACAGATCGCCAGTCCAGATGGTGACTAACTTTATGCCCACCATGATTTTTAGCTAAAGTTCATTTATTGTTAGAAAGACTCACCAAATGTATCATTGTAACCTTGCACTAGCATGACCACACCTCAAATGCTGTTCGGATAAATGGATTGTAATTGTAATGGCTGGAGAGACAAACCCCACAAAAGCAAGCAACCTCCGTACCACGTAAAACCAAATCAACAGCGCGAACTGCAATTTCACGCTCGAATTCAGCATTTATACAAGCTCACGTTCGCGCAGAGCTACTAACCCTAGCATCTGAGGCTAGTATCTCCCGCAGACCACACCGCTCATGAGCGTGGAAACCTAGACGCGACGCGACCGAATCGAAGCGAGCCCAGCCATCAGAGCTTGACTCACCTCCCGATCTCGCCGGCGGGAAGGCGCGCCTCGTCGCGCCGGCGGACGCGGAGGTGCTCGCTTCGTCCATCTCCTCCCGCCACGAGCTCGCTCGCCGCACAAGCCCTCGTCAGCGGCTCGCCGGAGCCCGACCCGCCGGAAGATCCGACCGCAGAAGAAAAGAGTGGAGAGTCTGCTTGCTGCTCGATGAAGAGGAGCCCATGGGCCCACCGAATCCTTGGGGGCCTATCTAATTCACGTGGGCCTCATGTGCCGAATTCCCGGGGGGCCGAATTGACGGCGTGAGATGGGGGACTACGGTCGATGTGACGGCCGCATCAATTCGCCGCCCGGCGCGTCGCGGTCGGGGGAATCTTTTCCCCATTTCGTTTCGCCTAGAAGCGAGAGGCCCGGGCGCCACGGAGAGAGAGAGAGAGAGAGAGAGAGGGAGATGAGAGAGGAGGTGAGGAGCTCGTCGGGGGCAGTGGCAGAAACGCCGATGGCCGTCGCCCGGTCCTCGTCGCCGCCGCAGACCCCGGTGGCCAGGTACGGTGGCGGTCGCGCCTCGGGATCTCTGTACTTTTGGTTCTAGATTCTTATTAGCTGTAGGCGCTGCTGCTTGGTTAGGGAATCAGGGTCTCAGTGCTCAGATTGGTCGTGAGGGTGCTGGTTCTGCGTAAGGAAGGTGGATTTTACATGACCCAAAAGACCTATTGTAGGATTCGAGGTAGGACAGGCCGTGGCTCAAATTCGATTATGGAATTTTGATTGGATTCTAGGGCACTCCTTTGTAGGGGAAAGCATGGGATATTTGATGGCCTACATCAGCTATAGGTGCATGGTTGGTGAAAATCAAGTGTAGCTGGCTGAGCTTTACTTCTCCTTTTGGCTGCAAAACGCCAGGATTTGAGCTGATAGATTGGTTTCTGTTGCAGTGTTGCTGTATAGTGTTACAGATTAATGAACGGTGACATTGGATGACATAATTCTGCGATTTGAGCTTACACGGGTTTGCCACTAAATATTATGATTAGGGGGACATGCTGCATTTGTGCTGACTTTGTCTTCATGCTATTATAGTCTAATGATGGTTTGGTCACAGTATTGCAATTGAGATTTGAGAAGGATTGCAGTTTGCAAAAATCAGTGGAGAACTGTGGCACATTTGATGGTGTGGTAGCATAGGATTGAGCCACTGGAGCTCATGTTGGCCTTGTTAACTTTAGATCTAGGTAGATCATTCTCAATTCATTTAGTGATGTTAGATCTGTAACATGGTGCTATAGTTTCTATGCTTGAATGCTAAAACCTGAAAATAGTTATTTTATTTGGATGACAAGCTAACGTGTCACGGCTGGTACCATGCCAACGACGTGAACAAGTTTACAGCTGGCGTATAGTATTTGGTGTTGGTATGTCCTATGTGTGCATGGGCCCACAGGGAAGAGTCAGCCTCTGGCTTATAAGCCACTGCCGTGTAAAGGGAGAACCCAATGAACTAGAAAAGGAATCAAATCGGAGAGGAACCTTTCCTCGTCCATTCCCCCAAGTTATCTCTGCTGTGATCCTGCTCACATCCTGGCACCATGCTGCGGCTACGGGTAGTTACATAACGTCAATGTGAACCTTTCTGCGCAGAATCGATAAAGCCAGAAATAATCCTTTCTACAGATTTTTGTCATTCTTTCTCTAAAGCTTGCACTGAAGCCCCTTTTGCTTTTCAGTTCTGCCGGCGCCTCATCACCTGCTATGCAAACTAATGTTGGAAGCATAGATTGGTTGGGTGGCAAACAAGCTTCCAGAGTTGACTCGTCGTCACAAGTTGCTGCACATGCCTATCATCCTTCCCACAGTTTTGATGCAGCTGGAACTGCTATGGATTCTGCACCATCATGTAGGCCATGGGAACGTGGAGACTTGCTTCGACGACTGGCAACATTTAAGCCTTCAACTTGGGCTTCTAAACCGAAGGTATCTTCCCTAGTTGGGACTACTAGGGTCTACGGTACCTGTGCCATTTCACATGCTTTAGGGTTTCTCTTGTGTTGTGTTGCATGTACCATATATTGCTCATTTGGGCTCTAGTATACAACTAAATAGGCTCATTCATCTCTCCTCCACCCAAGTTGTCCCTGAAGCTAACTCCATAATGATATGATAATGTTGGTCGCACATTTCTTTTGTCACCATTTGTTGGTGGCAATAATACAAAACATGCCATAGGTCTGAAAATGTGACCATGGAATCATAATCCAAATCGTTATGCACATATAGGCCTCTCCACTTTCATATCAGCTATAACATAAAATTCTTGCTTTGATATATTGAAATTCGAAAGAAGTTACTCTTTCACCGTTTTGCTTATTGCAAGTGGCATTTAAACGCTGTTTACGTACTGTGCTAATCTGGCCAGGCATTTGCTGGATGCTTGCTTGACCTTTATAGGGATCCTTTAACTTCTGAATTTCTTAATATTAGTTGTGTGATTTGATGTTCATTTTTTCAGGCTGCTAGTTCATTGGCCTGTGCTCAGAGAGGTTGGGTGAACGTTGACCTGGACAAAATTGAATGTGAGTCATGTGGCGCACATCTAATCTTCAATGCATTGACATCCTGGTCCCCTGTTGAAGGTATGTTTTGTCTTGATACACTTTTGTTTTGTGATAGATTTACTACTATGCTAAGTGACTGGTTGTTATGTGTATCTGTCTTACAAGTTACATTTCTTTGCTCTGCTACTAACTGTAAGGGTGGAGATTAGTGCAGGCCATGTTGTATTTTCAACGTCACCTATAATCTTTTAGTGTAACCTTATTTCCCATTACGATAATAAGGCATCTATGTGTTTGGTTGGGGAAAAAATGGTTACTGAATATCCAACGACCTTGTAGTTTATGCCAAGAAAAAAAAATCAAACCATGACACTGTGCATTCAATTCATAATGTTCTACTTATGATAGCTAGCTGAGCGGGAGCTCTCTGCACTGGGTACGCCTTTTATTTGCCAATATTTATATTTCACCCTGTCGTCTACTTTGATGAGTTATGTTCGACAGCTAGAATACTTATAACTTGAGTCAGATCATATATTTATTTACTGTTGTATGCGAAAAGGTAGTCAAGAATTATATATACAGATTTAATACGTCAAACATTTGTTCCAAAAAATCATGAACAGAGTTGGATATTCTGAGGTGAGAGTAGAGTTTATACATGTGACATATCACAGTGTTTTCAGTCACCTCATACGAATATAGAGGGTATTTTTGTACGATACAAGATGATTCCAAGTTGGAAAATTGAACAAGTCTGTAAACTACTCTGACCCTGGCCCTCCACTTACACAATTATCCTTGCATTTTTTTTTTGAACGTACTGGCAGGAGCTCTGCCTTTCAATTAAGATGGGATAAGAAAGTTTATGTACAAGCAAAGGTAACTAGGTTATAGTCCCCCCTCCCTTAAGCATGCGAGCTAAATGTAATCGAATGCTCTCTTCCTTTGCTCAATGTCTTCCTTAATCCTTGCGGCTACCTGCAGCACCGTTTGACTCATATTGTCGAAAATTCTCCTGTTTCTCTCTTTCCATATATTCCAAAAGGTGTAGATAGCTACTCCGTTAAGCCTACGACGCTCCGCTCTTGGCGCTTTTGCCGCCGCGTCTTCCCACCATGACTTGATATTAGTGGGGTTTGCATTTTGCTGTTGTTGGATTTGAGTGAAGTTTTCCCATGTGAGGATTTGATTCCAAACCGCCTTTGCAAAAGGGCAACTAAGGCATAGGTGGAGGCTTGTCTCTAAAGGTCCATTGCACATCACACTTCTTTGTTGGTGAGGCCACCCTCTTTTTGTAGGTTTTGTGCCGTTAGAATTTTGTCTTGTACTAAGATCCATGCGAAGATCTTGCATCTGCATTCTCCACATGCGCTTTCCAAATCAAGTCCGTACCAAGAGTGGAGGAGCGAGCCTCTGAATTGTATTCAGAGGCCGATCGGGTGGAGTAATTCCCATCATTGGTCCAACGCCGGTGATGGTGTCTGGGACATACTGTTGCAGTGCACATCTGTATGCGTATCGAGAGGACACAAACTCCTCTATGTGGATGGGCGAGGTGATTTTCCTTCCAAGTTTATGCATCCAATTGTTGTTTTTGAGCTCTTCTTTGCATTGCTTGGTTTGTCCTTGAGAGCAAAGCGGAATAAGTTGGGGGCTAGGTACTTGGGAGCTTGATCATCGAGCCAACCGTGGTGCCAAAACTTTGTCTTTGCACCATCCCCCAAGGAAATAATGATTGAGGAGTTGAAGAAAGGCGGTCATCCTCATTACATGGAAAGCTCGAGCCGCTCCAAGATTTGGAGTCGTCCACCCGGATCTTGCCATAGCCATCGTAAACGGAGGGCTCGCCCAAATCTTTCAAGGTCGGGACCCCTAAACCTCCCATGTCTTTCGGCCCGGTAACCGTTTGCTGATTAACTAGACAATGGCCGCCATTTGCATTTCGTCCCCCTTCCACAAGAAAGATCTCCGATTTTGTCTATCTTTTTCTTAGCCCAAGCGGCTAGAGGAAACATTGTCGGTGGTATGTTGGCATGGAGGAGGATAGGGCCGGAGGTTACAAGAGTGAGGCGCCCGCTCTGTTTAGTAGTCTTCCTTTCCATTTGGGTAGTCTTTGCCCAATACGGTCTATGAGAGGTTGCACGTGGACCCTTTGCGTTGTTCTAATGTGTAGTTGAAGGCCCAAATATTTGCATGGGAATCCCCCTCTAGTCTTGGGTGAAAGGTGCCGGACTTGGTCTAGGTCCACGTTTGTACAACTAATAGGATGTCTTGAGCTCTTTTGTAGGTTAATATGAAGTGGGAGAATGTGCCAAAAGCTCTGCAGGATGATTTTTGGCGCCCACACATCGTCATGCGTGGGGTTGTGAAAATGGCCGCGTCATCCGCATACATTGAGGTTCTCCATTTTGCCGCCGTGATTGGTAATGGGGTGAGTATCCCTGTTGGGTTGTTGTGTCAAGTAATCATTGAAGCGGGTCCATGGCTAGGATGAAAAGCATGGGGAAAGTGGATCCCCTTGGCGGGACGCCCTGGC